AATCTTTTTTCTTGATTTAAAGATTCCATTCAATTTGAAATCGACGTCCTATTATAAGTTTTTTTATTCCTAATTTTTTCAAATATTTTAAAGAAGCAGTATTTTGATAAAACCCACCCACGCTCTAGTGATAAACAGCCGCCGGTGCGCAACACTTTGTGTGAATTTTGTTTTGGGTCAAGACATTCCGATACCTACATAGATTTGTTTTGTTTCTGTTTTGAATCCAATCAGAATTAACAACAGTTACAAATGAGATAATGAGATCTGACAAACGAGTAATACAAAATTTTGCATGCATTGATGGAGAGATGCTTACAATTTCTCAGAGTGAAACCAAGCATTTACAAACTCTTTTGCCTGACATTCGAAATATAATTGTTAAAAGTGAAATTATAACTAAGGAAGGTAATTTCCAAATCCTCAACATGTTCCATGTTTTTATTATTATTTAAAACATATTCAGTTACAAACTTCTTGGGACCTTTGTAGAAGGATATATACAAACATTTGTCAACATTCAATTTAAAATTGTGTAACTTGACACCACTCCCATAGCCTATTTATGTCGGCTTGTGAAATCTGAAGATCTACTTCATTTTTTATGATCCTATAAATTTTAAGGCTGTCGGCAAAGAACAGTACCATTGATACCATTTCATCTACAATATCGCTAATAAATATATTGAACAATAATGAGGTACAGTGGTTAACCGGAATGTACCATCGTCAACAAAAATAATTTATATTAATCTCCTGGACTAATTCTACCAGCATTCATTTCAATGCATTTAAATGATAGTTTGACAAATGTTTGACACTAAAATTCATATAATAGTACAAGTGCTAATATGATGCTGTCCCAGTTACTTTTGGTGACGATGGTACCTACTAAAATTTCCTTAGATATATGGTTGAAAAATTTTACTCTCTGTCATCTCCCCCTCAAGAAACTGAACAACCACAGAGAATTTATTTGAAAAACCATAACTTTTTAATTTCGCCACAAGTATATTGAAATTTACTCTGTCGAAGGCCTTGGAAAAGTCAGTATACACAGCGTCTATCTGATATCTATCCTCCAACATAAGTGATCAAATTTGCAATAACCGACTTGCCACTAGAAAATCCATGTTGATTATCAACAATGAGCCCGTCACACTGCTGTAAACTAAAAGGTCAAATAAAGAATGGCTGACTGCCTTGATATCCATCGGTATAGTACGCGCAACAATATACCGTTGACTCTTACGGCAATAAATTAACACCCATTATCCTTTTGACCAAGTAATAAATCATAAAACCCCAAATTTAAACCTTTTTCGAGCAGAGCCGGATCCTCAGGTATTATCACAAATTCTATTTATAACAGGTAGGTATGTTACATACCTGATGACCTAGATTATTCTGAGTTTTGAGAATATCTATGTCTATATTGCATATCAGGTCAAAATAACCAAAATATAAATAGTAGCAACTGACTTTATAATTTTAGTTTTTAGTAGTCTTCCAGAGAGTAGTTTTCAGTTGGACTTATCTGTGGTATTATGTGGCGTCCTTTTGAGTGTACTGATAGGGGGGCATCTTCAAGTGACATTTTTCGAAGAAAGCATTTATCTATCGATGCCAAACAAATAATTAAAAATGTGTATCAATCTTTGTTGAGTAGAAATTTTAATTCAACGAACGCATTAGCAGAGACGTCTACTTTAACAAAAACTCCTTTATCTTCGGTAAGAGACATAGTACTTAAACCTGTTAATCCTAGAAAAAAACGGAGTGATTCTGGCACATTTAGAAGCATTGACCAAAATTACATAGATCTATTGAGAAGGAAGATTTATCAAATGTATGAGGAACAAACTGTACCGACTTTGATTTCCCTCAGAAAACGGCTGTTAAAAAATGAAACAAATATCTCTTGTAGCCTTTCAAGCCTCAGGACAATATTGAGTAAAATAGGTTTTAAATACCGAACAATTAATAAGAGGCAAACATTAATGGAATCTCAACGTTTGCGGGAGTGGCGACTTAGATATTTAACAGCTCTTAAACAATTTAGGGAAGAAAATCGGCCAATTATTTACCTTGACGAAACATGGTTCGATACCCATGATACTCCAAGAAAAGGTTGGAATGATTCTTCTAAAAAATGTCAAACCAAGGCACCTTCAAATAAAGGCAAAAGAATCACAATAATACATGCTGGTTCAGAAAACGGATTTGTTCCAAATTGTCTGTTACTTTCCGCCAAAAACATATCAGATTCTTCTTTAGATTACCATCAAGATACCGACGCACGACTTTTTGAAGACTGGTTTGAGCATAAACTCCTTAAAAAAATCCCCGAAAATAGCGTCATCGTAATGGACAATGCTAGTTATCATAGTCGGCAAGCAAAAATCATTCCCAATTCTAATAATACGAAGGAAGAAATTCAAAATTTCATGATTGAAAATGATTTATATTTTGAAAAAACTTACAAAAAACGAGAACTGCTAGAAGTATTAAAGTCTTTCAAAATCAATAAGGAATACGAGTGTGACAAACTTGCAGCCAAAAATGGACATACAGTGTTGCGCCTTCCTCCATACTATTGTGTATTTAACCCTATCGAGCTAGTATGGCACCAATTGAAATCGAATATTAGGAGAAATAATACTTCTCCCACATTAAATGCATCTGTAGTAGAATTAATTAAAAACGAAGTAGAAAAGATTTCTGCAGACAACTGGAAAAACTGTGTAAATGTACTGAAGGTGGAAAATTCTTATAATTGTTTCATTACAAATGTTCAATCCTTAATTATAAGTTTAGGTCTAGATGATGACAATAGTGATAGTGATACAGAGTTAAATAATGAATAAATTATCAGTAGTTTTAGAATTTCGTAATTCCTATTGTGTTTCTTAATATCTTTATTATATTTTTTTTCTTTTTTTTTTATATTTCTTATCTTATATATTTTTTTTATACTTTTGAATTATAATTTTTGAAATAATACTTGTTATCGTTATTTTACCCTTACCTTAAACGAAAAATGTCCAATTATCTTAAATTATGAAAATAAATAATGTGGTTGGTTGGTATAAAGGTACCTAAATGTTTAAGCCGACCCTGATTCCATTTATTGAGCTTTGAAGAGGTTGGGGCCTATACAATAGGGTCTAATCCAGGTAGTTAATTTATTGCAGTAGGAGTCAACGGTATATTGTTGCGCGTATTATAATTAGCAATATTACTTTTATCACCTAATTTGTAGATGGGAGTAACAAAGTTGTTCTTCCAGTACTCGGGTAATTGTAGCTAATGAGATAATAAACCTACATTTATCAAGCTGAATGCGTCACTGAATGGTGTTTTAAATTACTTCTTGTTTTAAATTTAGCGTTGCATATGTTACATTTAAAATTCTTCTCATTCGAGTGTGTTGATATGTGATTCTTCAAATGGTGTTTTCGTTTAAATTTTGATTTGCATGTATCACATTCAAAAGGATAAATATCAGAATGTATTAGTTTGTGTTTTTTCAAATAGTCTTTTCCTTTAAATTCTGCTTCGCAAATGTCACATTTAAAAAGATAGATATCCGAGTGTGTTAATATGTGACTTTTCAAATTACCTTTCCGTTTAAATTTTGATTTGCATATGTCACATTCAAATGGATAAATATCCGAATGTGTTAGTTTGTGAATCTCCAAATTGCCTTTCCGTTTAAATTTTGATTTGCATGTGTCACATTCAAAAGGATAAAAATTCGAGTGTGTTGAAATGTGCCTTGTTAAATTATATTTTCCTTTAAATTTTCCATTGCATACGTTGCATTCAAAATTCTTCTCATCCAAGTGTGTTAGCTTATGCCTCTTCAGATCGCCTTTTCTTTTAAATTTTGCTTTGCAAATATTACATTCGAAATTCTTCTCATCCGAGTGTGTCAATATGTGTGCTTTCAAATTGCCCTTTCCTTTAAATTTTTTCTTACAAGTGTCACATTTAAAAGGAAAAATATCCGAGAGTATTGATCTGTGACGCTGTAACTCATTTTTTTGGATAAATTCTGCTTTGTTAGTGTTACAATCAAAAGGAGGAATATCCAAATGTGTTATTAAATGATGTTTCAAATTTGATTTGGTTCTGAACATAGCATTGCAAGTGTAACATTGAAACTTCCTAATAACCTCTTGTCTTGATAAATTGATGTCATATTTTTCTTCCTTTATAAATATTCCTTTATTCGGATCTATCAATTCGATATCTGATACTTCCATTTCGTTTTCAATGCCATCTTTTAGATATTCATTTAACATAAACCTAAAAAAAAAAGTTTTTTAGATTCAGTTAGATTTTGGGATTACACTAGGTAGGTGGGATAAAAATGTGAGATATTGTTACACATGAAAAGTTATGGTAGAATTAGTTTTATTAGTCATACTAAAGTAAAAAGAGTCTCGTTTCAATGCCTAAGAAAAATTAAAAAAATTTCGAGTAGCGATTCCCGGATTCTTTTGATGATCCATCGTTTAGTACTCTACCAAGTTGTTTTCCCCTAAGAATTCTATCAGGATGATGAGGATTCAAATTTCCCATTATAAAGCTGGATTTATAAACTCTGACGTTTGCGCTCAACATAAATCAAGCAGATCACGAAGTTTGATTTATAAACACAAACGCCCGCGCCCGCGTTCAAGTTCGCGCCCGAGTCCGCGCTGGAGATGACCAAGTTTTATCTTTGACGCTCGCGTTCGAGCGCCTGGACAATGAAAACAGGTCATTTGACCATGCATGCGCAGCAACCAAATTTAAATTTAACCTTTTTCTGTTTATTTACCTGATCTACCCTACATGGGTGGGGTGGTAATTTAATTTTTGTTTCATCCTAGGTATTCAAAGTATTTCAAGCCATTTCTATTTTGATTTTGGTATTGGTCGGTGTGTTTAGTGTTCGCAGTGAAAATTTTAAGAGTATTTATCAGTTTTGTTTTTGTTTTCATTTTCATCAGTTTGTTTTGGTTACGGTATGTCTGAATCTGTGGGAGTCCTGGGAGGAAGTATGATGCAGTGTGAGGATAACCCAGAAGACACTGCTGGATTGCTTCTGGAGGTTATCCAAACCTACGAATTTTTATATGATTTAAGAAACAAAGAATACAAAAATAATAAGAAGAAGGAGGATGCTTGGAAAGAAATCGCGTGCATCCTGAATAAAAGTTCTAAGTAAAAACTACATAACATATATACAGGTTTGAAAAACAGTTTCTTCATTGTTTTCTAGTTGATCATTGCCAGAAACTCTGGAAGTCGTTGAGGGACCACTATACGAGGGAAAAAAGGGAAGCAGGCAGATCAGGGGCTGCAGCTGCTGAATCCAAGTGGGTAAACTTTTCTAAAATGACCTTTTATGAAAAATATACTAAACCTAGGCAGTAAGATCAGTTCTAATAATTTTGTTGTATCGTGTAATTCAATTGTAATTATTGTTATAGAACATTCACAACCATTTCGAAGCCATGTTCTGCAGCAAGCAGTCGCGCTGCTTCATCGTGCAGCACCATCAGCTCGGGGACTTCAATATGGAGCACGCTTCTGTCTCCAGAGCCTCAGCAGCAGGAAGAATCTGAATCTCTCCCAGTCATTAGCGAGGCAGAAGAGGGAGCGACCAACCCAACATTGGAGGAAGCGTCGCAGGATCCTGGTCCATCTAAGATTAGACAAAAACGTTCAATTTTGGAAACACCCCAAAGTCCCCAAACCTCAACATCAACAAGTGAACATCCAAAGAAACCAAATAAGGCCAAATGACTCAAACAAAACGTTTGCAGAAGATATATACACTATTCTAAGTGACATGCCTGCCGAGAGAGCCAAGGCATTAAGAAGAAGATTCCTGGAAATTCTTCTCGAAGAAGACATTAATTAGAAAAAATCCATAAAATAAACTTTTTTAGAAATATCTGCTGTGTTTTATTTCTATTGAGTAGGTATCTACTTACATTGCAATGAAATTTTCATTTTAAAGTATGCTATTGATCAAAAGTGCGAATTATTTTGATTTTCTTATTTTTTTTTTACACAAAAATAATTACTATTTTTAGTGATTCTTTGACAGATATTAATTATTGAAATTTTTCCTCATTTTCAAATGTTTTTTTTTTCCAAATGCAAGTAAAAAAAATTATTAAGAATGAGTAAATTTATTGTGTTGCAGGCCATATTATAATCAAGGATTTATGTTTCATTTACCTGACCCAAAATGGTCAAATGCAAATACAGCACCTTAAACAGATTTTTTTCTCATTTGTTTGTAAAATGTAAACTTGCCACAATACCACCCCAAAAAGGGTCAAGGCAGGTAAATAATTTTCTAGGTACTATTGGGCTTGTATTGACTGTATTTTGGTTTTGGGAGCATTCTAAAATAAACCATTAAAGTGAAATTAAACAGTGCCTTTTATTTTGTTCGATACCTAGGTATTCAACTATTTAAAGAACAATATTTAGAAAATTTTTAGAACCACAAATGAAATTTTATCTTCCCCTGTTTACTGCATCATTTTGCCAAGGTACTTGTCCAACCAGCGATACAAAATATTCTGCCAAACGATCTCTTATGCTGTAAACATATCTGGATGCAAAATTTGCACCTAATCTACCAACAGATGCACTATGGTTTCTGGAACCTAATTTTTTGGCCAAAATAGGTATCCAAACACCCTATAAATTTTTTTGTTTGTGAAATAAAAGCAGATAAACCAATAAAAAAGGCCTCGTAAAGTCCATTCCAAAATAATTCGTTGACTCTTCAAGTATCAATAAAATGTTGATGATACCCTCAACCACAAACTTCGACTACCTGTGAGCAGGTCCGGGTTGATTTTATTTATTATACCTGCCTAGGTGAGATGTACATGTAAATGTGGGTGAATGTTTTAGTTAAATTATTTAGTCTTTGTGCAGAACTAGAGCTGTTATATTGACAAAAAAAATGTGGCGTCCATGGGCAAATGATGGTAGTATTGCAACCGGAAGTGGTATTTCAAAAAAAAAACATTTATCGCTAGATGCCAAGGAAATTGTGAGGAACGTTTATTTAACCCTTCTGCAGAGAGGCTATAATCATAATCAAAGTGTGAGTGAATCATCCGTTTTAACCAAAACTCCATTATCTACGGTTAAAGATATCGTAGCCAAACGCATCCAGCCAAGGAAGCAACGGTGTGACAGCGGCAAGTCAAGAAAGGTTGAAGAAGCGGATAAAGAGTTGATTCGTAGGAAAATTTATGATTTGTACAGTAAACAAATAATACCTACAATAGATTCTCTAAAAAAGGTACTTATAGAAGACGAAACTGATATATTATGTAGCAGAACAAGCCTTTGGAGAATTGTGAAAGCAATGGGTTTCAAATATCAAACCATTAATAAGAGGCAAGTGCTAATGGAATCCCAGCGATTACAAGCATGGCGTCGAGAATATTTAAGTTCCATAAAACAATATAGGGCAGAAAATCGTCCGATAATATATCTTGACGAAACATGGTTTGATACCCATGACACTCCCAAAAGAGGATGGAGCGACTCAACCTCCAAATGTCAAACCAAAGCACCCTCAAATAAAGGCTAGAGGATTACAATTTTGCATGCCGGATCAGAAAATGGTTTTGTTCCAAACTCTTTGCTGCTATCCGCAAAAAAAATAGCCAATTCATCATTAGATTATCATCAAGATACCGATGCAAAATTATTTGAAGAATGGTTTCAGAATCGCCTTCTTCCGAACATACCAGAAAACAGTATAATTGTGATGGACAACGCTAGTTACCACAGCCGTCAAAAAAATAAAGTGCCCAATGCAAGTAATACAAAAGTAGAACTTCAAAAATATATGATGGAAAATGATATGTATTTCGAAGAAAATTATACAAAGAAAGATCTTTTAAACGTTTTGAAATCATATAATGTTAAAAAAGAATATATTTGTGACGATCTTGCTAGCGCTTGTGGTCATACAGTTTTGCGTCTTCCTCCATATTATTGTATTTTCAATCCAATAGAACATATCTGGCATGAATTGAAGGCAATGGTTAGGAGAGGAAACACCTCTCCTACACTTAGTACTGCTGTAATAGATTTAATTAGAAAATGTGTAGATAATATTCCAGTTCAAAGCTGGAAAAATTCTGTCAATCACGTTATAAAAGTTGAAGAAACCTATAATTCAATAGGTATTAATGTTAAGCCATTAATAATTAGTTTAGGCATAGATGAAGATGACAGTGACAGTGTAACGGAACTAAATATAGATTAGGTTTGGTTGAATTGTGTATTGTATTATATTGTATTAGATATTAAGTTTTGGTAATTATTAAGATAGTATAAGATTATAACATAAATAAATAATATTATGAAACTCCTTTTTCGTTTTCATTATAATGGGCACAAAATCCGTACCTGTAAACCTTTGAGTGGGTATTAAGGAACCCGGTACCTACATAAAAGAACCTGGTACCTACACAATAGAGGCTAATAGCTATCTAATTTATGGTAGGGTTTTATAGCCGTGAAGTCAACGAAATATTTTGGAATGGACTTTATATAGGTATATTTTTGCCCAGATTTGTTTTTCGTTTCTTATCAGCATTTATATTCAGGTATTCTGATAAATTATTTTTGCCTATCCAGTTGCTGTTAATTTTTCTAAGAGTTTAGGTAATTATTAAGGGATATATTCAGTGGGACATAAAAACGGATCAGTGTTATTGGTTCTAAACATAACAATTTTTTCAATTCAATTCAATTTTTATTGTTTCCAGAAAGTATTTTCTATAACAATGAGTGCTCTAAATCTAGTAAACGTAGTGGTTTGAATTACAAAAGCAAAAATAAACTTATAAAGGAGGGAATATAATTTGTTTTGAATTTGTTATTAGAAACGAACAAAAAAAATAATAATAATCTAAATAATCTTAATCTAATTACAAAGCGAAAGATAAAGTTACTTGTATTTCTATGTATAAACTAAAAACCAGAAGGGTTCACATTTTGGTGCCTAATAAAAGTACCTATGGAAGGGGTCTATACAACAAAAAAAAGAGAGAAAGTTGATATTTCTAACAAATTCTAATCCTGCGATATCAAAAAGGATCGAAGCCTGAGGAATGACATTATGGTGGAAGCAAGCGAGATGCTTCTCTCAAAGCATGAGATGAGAGGACGTTGTATTGCGATAAATAGTCGGGAAGAATAATGTCGTCCTTCTCCCATGTTTCAGAGAAACAGATTATGTCGTAGTTGTGAATGGCCTCTGCAAAGTGATGAATGCGATTAAACCCCTTGGTGTTCCAAAAAACAATGTTCAATGGTTGCTACAATGCGTTAGAGCCGTTTGGTCCTGTATGTTTTTTGTGGATTCCAGGGGATGCGCTCTCTTCACGTTCTCTCTTTCCATCGCTGCGTAATGACACAATACGAGGTACTCCTCGTATATATTTGATTGTCAGGTTATCCTCACCTTCATCTGTACGTTTTTGCAGTTCCTTTCGAAGCGTACTCAGATGTTGAACCTGACGTGGGGTCAAGTCCGATTTCATGGTGACAGACTTGTATTGAGGAGACGTTAGGCGAGACTTGGCTTTCAAAACTTCCATGGCATCAGAACTCGATGAAAATATGACCTTAAGTGGTTTGGGACCAGTGTTTGCTTTACCAAAACGGAACGTCAGTTTTGGAGATATATTCTGTAGGCCAATTTCGGTTAGAATCTTTTGGACTTCGGCTTTATCATCTACCACTTGTCTAAGGCCTGAGACTATGACATTGCATTCTCGACGCGTACGATCTCGAGATTCTTCAAAGAAGTCTTCAAAGTTTTGCGCCTTTGATTGTAAGTTATCGAATTCCTTGCGAAGAGAACAAGTCTCAGTTTTCAAATTGGTAATTTCGGTCTCACAATTGGCAATGGATACAGCCTGGGATGCAATATGCTGGTTTAACGTTTCGATTTTAGCGTCGCAAGCAGTAATTTTGCCTTCGCAGGCATTTACGGTTATTTTTAGAGAGGAAAATTCGGCCATTATTGCTTGGAAATGCTCCGTAGTTAATGGTTTTGGCGCATTCGTGCTCGAAGTGCATTTCAGACATTTGAATTGTGCAGGCGATCCCGCCCCGGCATCAGCGAGTTGACCACATGTTTCATGAACCGTAGCTGCGCACATCGAACATGTCCGAGTTGATTGATTTTTGGTGAATGAATTTTTGCAGCACTGGCATATAGCCATATTTTAGTACGTTTTTGTTTACGAAAGATTTAGCCAAAGATAATGTTTGGTGCAGGGAATAAAGGCACAATACGTTACTGGTGACTTACTCTTTTAAAGCAGGTAACTTTTGGCTATTTTCCCTCTTGATTAAACGGGATAACTTCAACTTTTTGGAGTGAGAGATAAAATGTGTACACTACTTTTAAACAACCAATGCGCACACCTAAACATCTAAACATAACACTGCAAGTGTAACATTGAAACTTTTTAATAACATCTTTTCTTGATAAATTGATGTCACTCGAATGTTCTTCCTTTATAAATATTCCTTTATTTGAATCTAATAATTCAATATCTGATACTTCTATTTCGTTTTTAATGCCATCCTCTAGATATTCATTTATTATAAACCTAAAAAAAAAAAGTTATTTAGATTCATAGTTAGACATTAGAACTACACTAGGTAAGTAGGATTAAAATTCGGGATTTGAGAAATTAATACATATGAAAAGTTGTGATAGAATTAGTTTTATTACTCATACA